AAATAATAATATATTGATAAATATAACTTAATAAGTAATTAATATGTATTCTTTAGGACTTTTGTGATTGGTGTAATGGTGCGAGAAGAGGGGAAGGTAATCATATAATAGGAAACGATTTTATAATCTATTCTGAACTAGGTTTTAGAATAGGCCAGGTAATTATTATGTTTAATTGATAGTTCTTAATAAAAAATTTAGGAATTTTTAGATTTATATTAAGTATCTTTTACATTTTTTAGTTATGAGACATCATCGAAGAAGAGCCCGTAACATGCTGATGATGAATCAGTTATTGAAAGGTGAGGAGTAGGGGATTTAATTTTTTTGTTTTTTTTAATTTTTTTATTTTTTATTAAGATTTTAATTTTTTTTTCATTGTTATCATAGGGGTTTTATATTTTTTTAATTTCTTTTTTTTACCGGAATGGGATTTTTATTTTGTAGTGTTTTATTTTTTATTATTTTTTTTTTATTATTTTTTTTTGTATAAATAAATAATATTAATTAATTGTATTTTAAACCATCATTAATAAATTTTCTTACTTTTTTCTTTTGTTTAATGAAGAGATCTTAAAACTTTTAAAAATAAATTTATATTTATCATTATAAATTGTTTTATTTAAGATTAATTTCAAATTTTGCATTATCAAAATTGCTTCAAGATAACTTTAACTTTAATCACAGAGAGGTTATTCTATAAATAACATCATAAAATTAACTTTAATTATATCATAGTAAAATTATGTTTGTATTTTCCTTTTTCAGTAATCATTTATTATACTGAATAATTCATTATAGTAATAATGAATTTTCTTATAATGAAGAGCTAATCAGCCTGGATGCTAACTTCGTTATATTGAGAGGTAATTGTATTAGACAAAGTAAATATTAAAAACATTCTTAATTGAAAATATTTTTAAAAATCTTAAGGATAATAACTCGAACTTGGGTTGCAACTGCATTATTCTCATAAATGTAACGAATTTTTACGTGTATATTACTGATTTAGAAACTGAAATCTCATTTGAGAATAAAGTAGATCCTGTAATATAATCAATTTCTTGAGAATATACTAGTTTAGAATGAATTTTCGTACAATCAGTTATTAATAAGATTAGTCCTTCCCATTTTAACTCCTTTGCTATATAAGCAAATTTTGTTACATTTTCTAAAACTAAATTAGGGTCTGTGATTATCTCCGTACTTGAAGCACGTATTTGGCTTGAATAAATTTAAGTTTAATAAATTAAATAATCATAAAGCAAAATAACTGCAAAGTATAAATAATAAATATATACATATCAAATTTTTTAAATAGACATTCCACCTAATGCTTTATGAAAAACTTCATATTCATGGCTACTTTCAGATAATAAGCTAAAAAAGTGTGTAAGATGTTCAGAATATCGCAAGCCTTTCATACTAATACCTACTTCTTCTTTTATTTTAATTTGTAACATTAGAGACGCCAATTTTGTAAATATTTTTTCACCATTAAAAGCATCATTCATTCCCATTTGAGTTAAAGAAGCCCACATTGAAGTATCATTATTATTGGTAACTATGCAAATCTAAAGATCTCTAAAGTTTCTATTTCTTATAAGAGTGATCAAATGGATATTAAAATAAAATTTTGGTATAAATTTGGTTGTTAATGATATTGCCCGTCTATATAAATAATTTTTTTAATTATTAACAAACTTTTTTAGTAAATAAAAAAACTAAACTTAATTAAATTTACAGCATTTAGTGTAATTTTTAATCTATTGTTCTTTTCTAAACTAATGCATTCATTGCATAAACCTGATAAATTTGTTATTATAATTGTGCATTTTATACTTCGTATTACTCCTTCAAATTGATTTATTTTTCAGATAGATGTTGCTTGTAATGTAGTATTTAAATATTGAATTTGATCCTTATTAAGTTTCTTACGAGAAAAAGAAAAAGAAGTATTTTGAGAAAACTTTTCAGAAAAATTCTTTTTCCAACTACTTTCAGTCTTTCATCACTACCATAACCAGATAGAGTACTAGTAGCATAAGTTGTATACAAATCACCAAATAAACCAATACAAGGTAAACTTTCACTTGATTCAATTTCGTCTTTACTAGTATCTTAGTTTTGATCAAAAAACTTTATAAACTTTGTTGTTTACTAATACCAAGTATACAATTTTTACTTTTAATATGTCATTCAAAATTCATTATTCTAAATGGATGGTCTAACTGAACTATAACTTCACATTTATACCTGACTGTTTTTTCATCAATAATTTTATCAAAGTTTTTCAAAGTACGAAAATGAGCAATACGAAGATCTCTCAGAGTTTTTGGCATTATTATTATGAAATAAATGTGATGGTAAAAAAAATATTTAACCAGTTAAACACGTCATTAAATTTTATTTTATATGTTGCCATTTCTTTTAAAATGTCAAATTATTAAACTAGATTAAGATAGATGAAATAACATCTAATTTTAAACGATTGAACCAAAATATATATATATATATATATAAACTAATTAAACCTCATATAGTTGTGAATTATATCATATATAGTAACCTATTTTGTTTATTAATATTTGCGAATTATCTGATTACAGTAACATAAATTAGCATGAATCACAAAATACTGTGACTTAGTATAATGTCATATGAATGCGAATCATACTTATCCTATAACATTTTTTTAAAATCTATAAGATCTTGAACTGTACATTCATATGACCTCTATAAGAAGTTTTTCCGATCTTACTTATATACTAATATACATATAAATCTGGTTGATTGATCCATCGATCAATGTCAATCATACCTAAATACTGCATAGTGTTAGAACAAGTAGATGCAAATGAAGCCTTGATTTGACAGAAACTTAACCTTTACTGATTAGTCTGTAATAGATACAATCTTACGTCTCACCTGACAGGGGCCCTTATTTCCATATATGATCATAATATTATATATAAATTAAGGAAGTGATTGACCAGAACTTAGTAGATTAGATCAGCAGTAATAATAAATTGCATTGCACACCCGTAGCACTGTCTAATCGAGCTGTCACTATGGTTAAAGATCAGATTCAATTCCTAAGTTATTTGACGTTATGGGTATTAAAGTCATCTGATTGATATAGTCTATATATACAACTGGAGATCACTGTTTGGGCAAATCTTGTGGTATTATCTCATGAATCCTATGGCTCTCTATATAGTAGTGATAAAGCCAAACCAAGTAATTGGATCTTGATTATAGTTCACTAGATCATTATAGAATTAGTAATGACGTTTACTATAACTGAGATGATCTCTCTATCCAAATTTGATAGTACCTTTGATGCAAAGTATCTAATACAGATCACAACATATGGTTTGAGTTATCTGATTAGGATGTCATGCTTAGATGAGCACATTGAAAGGATACATAACATGGTAGATAACTTGAAAAATAAGAAAATACCTGAGATTGAATAGGCCTGCATTTCACCAATAATGGTATCTAGTTAAACTTTGTTAAGCTGTATTTAAGTGCAAAGGTACTCGGTCATCATCATAGCACCTAAAAAAAAAAGTAATAAAATTGATTAGCAAAATTGACGTTATAGCTTATTTAATTCATATTATTTATTTATTCTATTATTTTTATTGTATTCATTTTATCTATTTTATTTATTATCTTATTTTTCTGTATTTTCTTTATTTAAACTGTTATAATGATATATAAGATAGTTTTTATATAAATAGGAGCAATTTAGGATTAAATAGCGATAGGTTTTCATAGGTTTTTATAAGTTTATTTTAGTAGTTATAATCTTTTAATAAATAAACTGTTTAGTACAGATATGCTGATAGAGACAGTATTATAATTTTGTTTGTTAATCATTTATCCTACACGTATTTATCATATTCCTATTATATTTATAAATCTTTAAATATTTTCTTATCTTTTCTATGAAGAAAACCTTCTGTACTTACATGTATATCACTTATTTAAGTTAAGCGATTTAAAGAACTGGCGTAATAATATCAAAACTTCAATTGATAATATCTTATAATCTAGTTAGAATTGATAAAAATCCTATTTTAATTGATCCTAATTAATTTAAATAAATTATTAGTTTTAAAAATTAAATTTTTTTATATATTATCATTATAATTAATTTTTTAAATAAAGTTATTTATTAAAATAAGTTTAAATTTCTTTTTAAAATTTAAAATATTTTTAAAACATTAGATTTAACTTAGGTCTTATGATCAGATCCTAAGTTTAGTATAAATATAATTTTTAAAGATTTTTTTTATTTTAAATTAATAAAAAATTTATGTATAATAATTATTAATAAGATAAATATATTATTAAATAATTTAATATTTTTAAAAATTTTTAAGACCAATTAGAACTTATTAAAACTTTTATCAACCCTAAATCTAATATTTACAGAATAATATAATTTAGCTAGAGCTCCTAATGAGTTGAGTCAAGTCGAGTTTTAAAGATAACTCGACTCAACTCAAAAAATTTGAGTCAAGTTGAGTCGAGTCAAAAAATTTTAAAACTTTAACTCAACTCGACTCGAGTTATACTTAAATTTGACTCAACTCAACTCAAGTCAAATAAAAACCCCCAAAATATATTTGCTAATTATATAAATAATAAAATAATAAAATTATATTAATGTTTCAGAGGCTATTATCTAAT